ATGCATTCATTTATTTACACCCCCAGAGCATCTGAAGACCAGCACTAGGAAGAACAAGAACTTGCTCCAGCACAAACAAGCCACAACGAATTAATTGTTACATGAGTGTGGAGGACAAAAAAAAACACAGCAAAATGCTGATTTTGTGGGAGCCCTGAAGCCAAACTCCCACCTCAGCTCCAGAGACAGGAGCTTGGTGCTTATCTGAGAAACAACAGCAGCGAGAGCACAGACAACTCTCATGGCAGCTCTCTGCCAGGAGGAGCCTGCAGATCGCATGGCTGGGCATTACTGGTGGGCACATCAAGCTCTCCTCCCCATCACCAAGCCACCCCCCAAGGAGATGTCATCAACCACCACAGCCAAATCTGCTGTCCCTCAAGTCAAACTGAAATGTCATCCATGCAGGTGACACCCAAGGTAGCAAGAAGGGACCCAGCCTGCACTACAGATGTGTTTGAGAAGAAACAGGGCTGTTGCTGGCCCACTGCGTGACTGACTACACATCAAGCTGCCCCAAGAAACAGTGGGGTGGGAAGGACTCAGAGTTGGAAGCAGGGGCTGTGCAACACGGGGTTCCTCCAGTAAAGCCCCTCCCTCACTGCTGAGCACCCAGGAGAGCCACAAGGCTGCTAGGGCAGACAGCACCTTGTGCCAAAAGAGCGATGGAAACATTTAGTGCCTGTGTGTAGAAATGGTGGGATGCAGCACTGGTGAGCAGGGACTCACTAAACCGTGGTTTTGGGTGTTTTCAGCCATCAGTGCAAGCAGAAGGCTGCAGGTGTCTAACACAGCTTCACCCAACCTCCACCTTCAGTGGAGGAAGACAGCAGGAGGGACATCTCTGCTAAGGACCTCCAACTCACTGCAGCAAGCACTGGGTACATAGCACACCTTTCATGAAGGCATTTTCTGTATAGAAACTGCAAATAGAAACTGCAAACATATGCTTGGTCAGGGATTTAAAGCCAGCTCCTGGGCATGGCTTCTACTACAGCATAAGCACCTGTAACGCTTGACCCAAAATTTTTATTCCTGGCTCTGTAGATATCCCTGTGATGGGCCCCATTTCCCATGTAGGAGGTGGGGCTGATGCCATGGGTGCTCTTCTCCCAGGGACAGGCACTTGGAGATGCCTCTGAGCTTTCACCCTCCTTGGGCTCTCGGTGTGCTAAGGGGCAAGACTGATAGACCTTCGGGTAAGAGAGAAGAGATGGATGACAAGTTGGAGTCTGGTTACCAAATAAGCCACCTGGCTTAGCACCCATGGTTTCCACACTCAGTCCAACCACAGCAGCATGGAAGCACCCAGACATCCCACCTCCCCCTTCCCAGCTTCCCAAAGCATACCAGGCTCCTGCACAGCTTCTGCTGTCAGCAGGGCACTCTGATGTCTCCTCACACCAGGACCTCTACATTTCAGGCTTCCTGGTTAATACCCAGGAGTTACTGGCACATGAACTCAAGCTGCATTACTATGATAATTCTGAGCTTAAAAGCCATTAGTTCAGATGAATGCATTGGTTTTCACAGCTTGGCTTCACCCACAGCATCTCACCAGGACAAAGCCAACAACCCTGATGGGCCCCCTCTCATCCTGTCCCTTCCTCCTGCAGAGGCTGGTGGATCAATTGCTCAGTTAAGGCACTGCAGCACCACAAAACCAAATATTCCCTGTGCTGCTCCATCCCCTTGTGTAGCTCTCCACACTGATGTGCCACAGGCAGCAGGTGCCAGGTCCCCTACAGCATAGGCAGGTACCATGCCTGCGCACTCATACAGCAGCATAGTGGGACCTGAAAAGCACCTGCAGCAACATCTGTTAGGTACCAACACCATTTGGTACATCACTTTCAGTGGCCAGAAACAAGCTGCAAGGGCCTGCTTCTTCGACACATTGATGCTGAGGTTCAAGTGGTTGATCTGTGCCCTTTTTTGCTTTTACACTGGTACTCCCCTTGCCCTTTCTTGACCAGGTTGAAGCATCCTCACATGGTCTTCCCAGCACACTCACTCAGGGCGGGACATGCGGCAGAGCACAAAGAAGGGAGGCTGCCAAAACTGCATCTCCTTTGTTAAGAGAAAGAAGGTACAAGCGCCATTTCTAGCAGGTACTGTTAGTCCACAACCTCCCACACCACAAGAGCTACAGATGCCATCAGCCACAACCCCAGGAAAGCACGGCCTGCTGGTTTTCATGGCTGAGGGTGGGACACACAATCCATGGTTGGATTCATGAGGACCACTGAGCAACAGGGTCTTTCTCAAGGTTTTAACACCATGCAGCCATCCTGGGCCTTAGGCAAGAGGAGGCATGATCTCTGCCAGAGAGAGATGGATGGAAGACGACATCAAAGGATGTCAGCTATCAAAGGATGCCAAGCACAGTTCAGCCCTCAAGAATTTGCCCATCTAGTTCACTTAGGGCAGCTGGAGACACACAGGCGGAAAGGCAGATCAGCAGTACAGGTTGATACCAAGGCATGAGTGAAGAACCCAAGTATTCTGGCCCAGCATGCCCTGCCCCAGCTCCACCAGCTTCCCTGTGCCCACACTTCTGACCTCAGGTAAGTGGATTATTCACACACATGAGCAACACCAAATCAACCTCCCCCATCAGCAGTGATTCAAGGCATCATCACTGCAAATGCTCTTGCAACAGCAAACCCCTCAGCCTCTGTGATGCTGCCTGAAGGTCCCTGGCTGACCAGTCATTGCATTGCCAAGAGTAGCTCTGCAGCTCACACATACCCTGAGCAGAGCGCTTATTGCCTGTTTTGAGAGGTCTGCCCTGAATATGGCTAAGCCAAGGCAGAAATCAGCTACCATGTGGTAGCTGAGGGTGCTGGAAGTGCTAACAAACCCAGACCAAGCACCCCTTCACCCCTGGTGTTCTTCAAATCAGCGTTCAACGTCTACCTGTATTTCTGTAAAATAATCCTTTCTCCAGCATGCTGCAAACAGCCCATGCAGCCTGTAGCATGACACATTGCTGTTTCATCGAGCACAGCAGGACCCTCCCAGGGCTGGTAGCACCCTCAGAGTTTATTACTTCTCTATAAATGTAGATGCTTCCAGTCTCTCCTGGACATAAGCAGGTTTCCACCTCTCTGCAAAGCCACCCTAGGGTCCCACATTGCTTGCTTGTGCTTTGGATCAGAGCTCTTGATCAGCTTGAACTTTGGAAGCAAAGTGACAGGGACCTCATAAAGCTGGCAATA